CCCCCCCCCCCTCCTCAGTTCCATACCCCTTCACCAAAAAGTGAAAGTACTTGCATTTGTCACCACCCCCTCAGTTCCATACCCCTTCTCCAAACCTGTGCACAAGCACGATCTGCCCTCAGACGCAGAGGCTAGTACCTTTCGGACTTGACAAAGAATAGATGCTGCCTACCGGTCCGTTGACTACATTCCGTTGTGCTAAACGACAAGTGACAGTTGATGCCAAATCTTCACCAGTCTTTACTAAGTCAATGTCAAAAAAAAAAAAAAAATCCAAACTCTGGACAATATCTCAAAGCGAAAAAAGATTCCTCAGTTATTGAAATCACAGACTGTGCCACGTGGCCGGCGATGAATTGCCGAGCGGAGAGACTTCATAGGCCTTTCCTGTCCTCTCAGGAACATCTTCTCATGAAGACAAACATTCTTCAGGAAGAGTAACGTCCTTAGTACGAAATCCACCTCCGCCGCCTCCCACACATCCAAATATCACAACAGGAAACGGCCATCATTCCTACAACCTTCCCTGCTCCCGTGTGTGGACATAGTACATAACATTCGCCATGGCCCGTCTCCCTACATTGGCATACAAAGCCTTGCGATAGATTATCAACTCAAATGGGGAAAAAAAAAAAAACAGTGAAAGATAAAAGAAGTTAAAGAACAGAGGACTATCAATTCTAAAAGATAAAACTGCATGGGTAACAAAGTTTAAACTTAAACTTTAAACTTTAAACAAACATCGTACAACATGAATAACCGAACAAAATGGTGACTCTACCCCATGTAAGAGTTCCTATCTCTAAGAAAAAGGGGGAAAAAAAAGGATTCCCTCTCTCGCTCTTTACCTCCCCTGACCAGCTACATTCCTCAGAGCGAGAAACCCTTTGCCGAAACAAGCAGATGCACTCAGGGCATACTCACACCCGGGCTTTGCTGCATGCATCTGACCGCAATTCCACCTTGACCTGGACGTATCGGACAGCAATTCCGTCCAGAGCTCAGTCGAGAACGTCCTAGTGTGTGTATGCACTAACGGATTGAAGCAAGCAATAGCAATAGAACCGGGTATATCACACCTGTTTGAATCACCGGTACACCCTGATAACGTGCCCGTTCGCAAGGGGGTGCAGAGGAGGAGGGGGGGGCGTGTTGGGTTTTGGATGTACAGCCCGGCCTGAGCTGCGTTCAGTTCATTCATGACAGCAGAAAAACTCTCAGAGGTCTCGCGAAGGCTGTCGCATGCCGCTGCTGCTTTGCCCTCCCAGTCTCTCTCACAAGCCCTCTTCATCCTCGTCCGCAGGCGAGGGTCCGCTTATTCACTGACACATTTTCCGCTCATCTACCGAGACCTTCAACGGAACGTGAAGGTTCACAATACAATAAATCCACATTTGCGCTTCGCTAGAGATTGACAGCAAGAAGAAGCACACATAACCCCCTGAAATTCACAGACAGACGCACACAAGGAGGACCTGAACGATACATTGCCGGCCACAAAATTGCGCCGCAAAGACAGCAGTGCAAATCACAACTATCTAACTCACTCACCACAAAATTGCGCCGATACCTCCCCCACCAGCAGAGGACAGTTACCACAATCCTCTCAAGTAAAAGTACTCCCTACAACCCAAACCACGTACGTGTACGTCCCTCTCACCACGTCTCCATGGAGGTGTGAGAGAGGCCTTCGCTAGCGAGTCACCGACACAAAACAAAGCTGCCCTTACTTGCCAACTTCACAGATAAATGAACCCTTCTCAAAGAACCTTTCTCAACTTTACCCTGACTGCAAAGAATCAGGGTACGCAGGGCCCAAAGGTGTACAGTAGATAGCATACCGCCAGGTCGCCCCAGGGCCATTTGAAGTAAGGAAAGCATGATGAAATCACTCTTTCAGAAAGAAAGACAAACTAAGCAGTTCAGTTCACAGGCCCTGACAAGTTGCAACAAGGTTCTGAGAAGAGAGACGCAGGCTTCCACACTCCACTCCAATTCCAGGAGGACCACTCACCTTGTTAATCATGAAGTGATCCCACTTCAATTACGCTTCAGTTACTTCTGCGAGGCTGGAGATCAAACCTTTCCCCAACCTTTTCAACGACTCCTGCGACGCTGGAGATAAGGCCTTTCAAAATAACCTTCACAAAAAAAAACAAGTAGCGATGCCATAGCCCGACGGCAGGAACCGCCGATCAATATTCTCAAGATCTGGCACAACTCTTTCATGTCCTACACTGCTGGGTGTGAACTGAATAACTCACAGATTTCACTTGTCTAGAACCAAATGATGGGTTCCCTCGGCCACCCAATCATCCATGTCATGCCAGTTCCATGTCACCACAGCTCATTCACTGCCCATGCCACCTTACTGCGAACCTCCTCTCTCTCTCTCTCTCTCTCTCTCTCTCTCTCTCTCTCTCTCGCGCGCGCGCGCGCGCGCGCACGCTTTCTCTCTGTGTGTGTATGTGTGTGTCCGTGTCCGTCTCTATAAAAACAATGTGTAGAAATATCTTTTCCAAGTAGTGGATGAGCACGTTGACAGGTCCAAAGAGGATGTGTCCCAAGAGGCGACCACCGGATGGAACTGGGAAACAGGGGACCGATATCGCAGGAGCTCATGGATAGATCATAGATCCAGGAAAAGACATTATGTTGTGCTAAGGCCCGCAAGCCCGTCAATTTCTCTCCTATCTATTTACACGCCGGAGCAATGGCAAAAGAGGGAGTTGACGTCCCTGACTTACAATGAGCACAGGAATTAGGGTCCACCTGTGGACCCATCACCCACACTCCTTGCCAGCATGAACTGTATGCTCCACAACCTTGAAACCCAATTGTGAAGGCTTGGCCAGCATACCACTACTGGCCATTGAAGGGTACAATAAAGAATCCCTGCTGCCTATTTGTACAGCTTGGGAGATGCAGACTTGTTCCGGAGATCGAAGCAGACTTGTACCCGAGCTCGCAAGGTCCGCATTCACAGTAAGACATCCGAGTACTTCCCATCTCCCAAGGTCTACAAAATTTGCCGGCCGCTGACAGCAATGCACAAGCAAGCCATTCCACAGCATTCATAGCAGATGTTTGCGCATTGCTACTCTCCGCAGCATTCAATAGCAGATATTTGCGAATTGCTACTCTCCACAGCAGTCATTGCAGATGTTCACACACCGACGATTGATGCTCCTGATCCTTTTAGGTAAGAAGCCCTAGACGCTTCACTCTTTGCTAATGAACATTGTCCCAATAGGACTTCCATACCTGTCCCACAGAAGCAGCACCAAAGGTGGAACTCTCCCCCGCCCCCACCCACCCACCCACCCACAGCATCAACCGGGCGGAGGCTTTGTCGTACACAATCACACCATCCATTGCATCACAAGCCAGCCAAGTAAGCTAGCTATCCCTGCTGGGGGGAGGGGGGTAGCAATCCAGCCCAATCAACTAGCCGGCTATCTACCACTGGGGGGCCGTGGGGGCGGAATATAAACTCACTCCCAGCAACTGATCAAACTGTTTGTTCACGGAGTGTTCGACGAAGGCCACCGATGCGAACGACGTTTGACAAAATTTGCTTTGGCCAGCGGGTCCTTCTTCCTATTCTTCCAGCAACAGGGTGGTCAACTTGCAACTGGAGTTGTTGCCGTGGCCGCACAAATGAACCGCCAACAATCGGTTGCGCAGCCCATCGAGCCGAACTTGAAACTGGGTCTTTCGAGGCGAGGTCATCTTATTCTTCTATCCTGCCATTGCAGGCAAGTCGCCCCGGCCTGTTCTTACCGTCAAATGTTGTCAACTGAGCCTCCTTTTGCAAGACAAAACCCGCGTTAACCATTGTGCCCAGGTTAGTGAAGAACATATTCAATACCTCAAATTTGAATTGCTCTATCTAACATATACACAATTTGCTGCCAGCAAAAGTAGACGTCTCCTGCGTCCGCAGCTCATCCAGAAACTGCCGCGACTTCCCTGTCTGGGAAAAGAACATACCACATTTACCTCTCTCCCTCTGACAGAACAAGCTGGCTGCTGGCAGGACCTGCTCACCATCCATCCGTTCCTTCACTAAAACAGATAGATGACGTCTAAACGCTGACATTGCACATGGATACAGCCTACAAATCGCACGCCCTCCCTTCCGCCGCAAGGCCAATGTGGGAACTGAATCATCATTCACTCAGCAAGCTGATGCTGGGAGAGCGAGAGAGAGAGAGCGCGTGCGCGCGCGCGCGCGAGAGAGAGAGAGAGAGAGAGAGATGATGATGATGATGATGATGTCCAGACTACACCTCTGACCTGCTTGCTTTCGGATCAGCATATAGATGATAAATTGAATTGTTTGCAATCTTCCTGTGCGGTTGAATTGTTGGCCGTCTTCTTTAATCGCGAGGTTCTTTTTGAAAACTGTCCACTCTTGATCGGTCGAAGAGCAACACTTCATCCCAATCGGCACGCTCTCTCGTTCTGTCCTCGATCCTCTCAATCACTCGCTTGGACACATAGTCATCAATGCATGAGCACTATCAAATTGGAAGTCAAATTTAGTCCCACGCAATGGAGTCACAGTTTCTCAGTCAGCATTTCCATGCACGTACCTGGCCTAGATTCTCTGCAAGGTTCTCCGCAAGCCACCCTCCGGCCCCCCTTACCTCGCTTCCCTTCTGGTGGTTAAGCATCGATCAGACGGTCCCGGTTGTTGCACCCCATCCACCGAAACCAAAATTGGTTACCTTGATTCCCTTCTGCTGATTAAGCATACATCCATCAGGCAGTCCATAAGCAACGTCCATTGCGAAAGAATAACGCCCAGAACCAGGGAAACCAAAATTGACTGACGATCGAGTGATCCTCCTGCGCGCCAGCCGTACCCATCCTGCGATTATAAGGCAGAGCAGCACAGTGGTCATGAATGATGTTTGGACAGTTCGTTCACTTTGCAAGGGCTGGCTGCATGTGCTTGTTGAAAGAAATGGATGCAGGATGTTGGATCACGCTCTCTGTTGATGCCTGCCTGCCTGCCTGCCTGCCTGCCCGCCCGCTTGTGTGCGCTGCGCTAACAAGGATCTCCTAAGAGGTCCCAATTCAACGTATAAGAGACCCAGCGAACACAGACATCGGATAGGAGAGCACATGGCTCTAGACCACGCTCCGCTGGGGCTGATCTAAATAAAACCACATCTCATCCATCCATCCCTACGCAGCACTGTCGGTCAAGGAGCCCAGCTGGCAATCGATGCGTTTTTGCGACCGACACGTCAGTGATACCTCATTGCGCCTACATCAAATCCAGGCATGTCAAAAGACGCTGCAAATCGCTCCACGGCCACTCTGAGATCTGCAAGATCTGGGTGGCCGTCCAAGCCCTTCATGAAGTCCCGCATTGATCGTCCGTGTTCCTTTTGTATCGACAATGCGATCATTACCGCCCTCTCCAAGAACTTTGCGATCACCTCAAAGTCTTCCTCTTTACAGCCCCGAGTTGTCATTGCAGGTGATCCTGGGGCCATAGACACATGACAGAAGCACAACCGCAAACCAAGGTAAGAAACAATCAAGCATTTGACAAGCTTTGGGTGGAACATCCAACCTTTCAATCATGTACATTTAACCCCCGCAGCCCCCCCCCCCCTCCCCCCTCTAAACACCCCACAATCGATCAATCAAAAAACTTTCTTCTGCTACCTTGCTACCTTTGTTCACCGGCTGACCCTCTCATGTGGACAAGGAAACAAGAAGGCAATTAGGATATAGCGACTTTGCAACCCCAACTTTGGGGCTGAATCGTTTAATGATTCAATCGTATGCACATCAGAGGAGCTGCTGCTTGGCAGCCGATCATTGCAGATCAGCGGCCAAGATCAGCCACTTCTTTGATTCCATTCGTGCGGGAACTCCCGCTTTTTGAACAAGCAACGGGGGAGAACACATCGAGCGTTCAACCCCCGTCAAGAGAGAGAGAGAGAGAGAGAGAGAGAGAGAGAGAGAGAGAGAGAGAGAGAGAGAGAGCTCATGGGGATCGTTCCCGACACCCGCACATGACCCCACCCCGTGCTTTTTCCACCGTAGCGCTTCCAGATTCGAGCCCACCCGGCTTCGGAAAAACCCGGCGTGGACTTTTTGCCCACTCCCACACAACGCGGCAGAGCGAATGCACTGAATGCAAAGCACGCTAGCAGACCTTTCACAAGCCCCGGGTATGAACAACTCACATCAGACCAAAGGCTGTGTTGGAGGCCGGTAGAAAACTCTCCGAAACCCGTTTCACGACAACAAGCATGGAAAAAAATGCACAGCGCATGTAGCAGATTCTGCTGGGCCCGCGCCCCCTGTCCCGAGCCTTTTCCGAAGACTGGAAGCCTGGCCTGGCAGGACTGTTACGCCATACCCGGCTTACACTTTAGTAAGCGTATAGACATAGATAAAAATAAAAAGAACTTAACGCTGCAGCCCCGTCCTGGTAGTGGTCGACTGTGTTCTATTCGTGATATTATTACTAATATTTACTATATAGTATATACTTTTTTGTTTTTCCCCCTGGGCCCTTGCCTTAGGAAAGTTGCACCCTAAAATTTGTTCTACAAGGTACGTACTTTTCGGTTTAAGATGGTAGCTTTCAGTTCACAACTGGTTCCCTTTCGATTTTGTGAACTTTTTCCTTCTTTTCTTGTTTGCAAGCCGGTTTGTTATGCATATTTTTCTTTCTTTTTTGTTTAGTATGCTGGCTTATTATCCAAAGCAGAAGCATCATGATAAAGAAAAGCTAAGCTATATTCTTCTCCCAATTTCACCTTTCACTACCTCCCTACCACCACTCCTAAGCCCTTACAGGGCAACCATGCAACCATATCCACCTCTCACGATGAAGGGGAGGCATGTTGCCCCCTGCCATGAATGGGGTGGGGCCAACAGTGGGAGAGATTGGCGAACGCAAATACCAAGCATTTTGCAAGGAGTTTAAGACCCCCAAAAGCGTCGATTCCTTACATCCTGCATTGGGGACCAGCTGGATTTTGGGAAACTTTCATCCTAGATACAGGACTGAGAACCAGGTGTTTTATTCGGGGGATGACAGCACAGCCCCCCCGTCAGCCCCGTGGCAGTGATAGCACTTGGCCTCAAGACAGACAACATTCAAAATCCCTGGCTCCTGCCCCAGACTGACAAAATTCAAAATCGCTCCTCCTCACTACGCTAAGTTCGTTCTTCTTAATTGTACTTTCGCCAAAATGGCCAAACACAAACACACTTAACACAATCATGTTTGCATTAGCAGATTGTTAGAAGCAACCATCCATCAATCCACAGAAGTTCCACAATCATGTCCCATGCTAGGACCTCCTTCGATGAATCTGGCCGTGGTTATGGTGAGATTCCGTGCAGAAAGAGCCACACACAACGAGTTTCTTGTTGCAGGCATCCAGCTCGCTGTGGCTAATCGTTTCCATTTCCTACACACGCAACTAAAAGACGAGCAGCAAACACTCCATATCATTGTCTCCCAGTGTCATGGACAACAGGCAGCCTCTGTGTCTGTGTGTGTGTTTGTTGTCATATCCGCTATCCTCTGTGGTTACGGTGAGATTCAGTGCAGAAAGAGCCACACACAACGAGTTTCTTGTTGCAGGCATCCAGCTCGCTGTGGCTAATCATTTCCATTTCCTACACACGCAACTAAAAGACGAGCAGCAAACACTCCATATCATTGTCTCCCAGTGTCATTGACAACAGGCAGCCTCTGTGTCTGTGTGTGTGTTTGTTGTCATATCCGCTATCCTCTGCGCGTGTGTGTGTGTGCGTGTGTGTGTGTGTGTGTGTGTGTGTGTGTGTGTGTGTGTGTGTGTGTGTGTGTGTGTGTGTGTGTGTGCGTGTGTGTGTGTGTGTGTGTGTGTGTGTGTGTGTGTGTG